TGATTTTGGATCTCTTCATCTGGGTGGAATAGGGGTTGTTGTGGTGAATATTCAAAACACACACACACACACACACACACACACACACACACACACACACACACACACAAACAAAAAAAAAAAAAAAAAAAAAATAAAAAAAAAATCAGTTTTATGTCTCAGTCTTTCTCCTGTTGTCCGTCTTTCGTCTGATTTTTTTCTACGTTTTTTGCGCCCGACTGAGCACCCTTAAGTAGTGCCAAACAGTCGGTGGTTCCTCGTTTGGAGTGCCTACTGCACGCTTAGGGGGCCCGTTCGGTTTGGGATGTTTGTGTTGTGTTATGATTCTGGTTGCCTGTTGTCTAAAGACCAACACTCACTCACATAGACTCCCAGGTATGCCCATCCATACACAGAAGGAAGGGAAGAGGATAGGAGTATCACACCGCATAGGGAGAGATAAACACAGCAGAAGACTTGACCATGCGATATGACAGGGTACACTGAAAGTGCAATTCGCTCCACACAATCCTCACAACCAGTCATAAAGGAAAGCCGAGCAGATCACATCTGAGAAACAATGAAGCAATGATAATCTGAACCCAGTATCCACACTGTTTATTAAACTCAGAGTCTCGAATTGTCAGAATAACTTCAGAACTATGATGCGCTGCTCAGAAATGAGCAGCGCTTCACTCCCCAACCCTGATGTACCACTATTACCACCCCTGAGTCCCTGAAACATCAAGCGCCACCCACATACAGCCTCCAAAGGGAAGCGCCACCCTGAAACAGGCCTTTGAGGCCAAGCGTCACTCATAAGATGAAGAAGAAGACCAGCGCTATAGTATCTGATGATGACGAAGTGTCGGAAGACTTCCCGGGTGGAAGTCTGCAGCAGCGCCACCACTCCTGACAAGATGACCTCTGAGGAAGAAGCTGCAGCTATGGCTGCAGCGCCACTACCCTGGAACCCCACTCCGGAGGAGGGTCCAGCAGGGCACCAACTTCTCTCGCCTCCAACAGACCTCTGATAGCCCAGACCTCTGTACAGCCCCGCATGCTGACAGAGTACAGCGCAGGTCCCAGCTATGGTCGGCGCTCCGAAGGTCTACCTATGTCTGTCTCCCTCAACGCTGAGCCGTCACCACTTCCGGTTCACGAGTAGTACAGCCGCGAGGTACTTGGTACAAACTGCCAAAAGCCCTGAACCGATGTGCCCATCCTATCTAGTCTACTCTAGCCTAGACTCAACCTATACCGGACTGACTGACCGACCGGTACCATTTCTGTTTCGGCCCCTAGGGCCTCTCCCAACCCGGCTATAGGCTATAGGACCGTCTATCAGCTTAGGCCCTTAGGGCCTGTCTGTCCTAGGGGTAGCCCGGGCCTGCTATTCGCAGTTAGGATAACTATAGGGAATTCTAGTTAGTACGGGCCTATATTTTCCCGAATTTGCAAATATGTCCCTCATGAATTTCCTTACAGGCAGGTCTCTCGGTTAGCCCTCAGCCAAACAAAAATTACGAATCTGTCCTACTATAGTACAGCCTCAATAGAGGTAGGCTACAGGCAACCAGAAACCAGCAAGTCATTGCAGACCTACTCTCCCCCGGAGCGAGGACCTCCGAGCTAGGGGTGTAGGCGTGCAGAGCGTCGAAGGGGTTCTCCCTTCTGCGCTGCCTCATATCTTAGGACAACAGATTTTGCGGTTTTCAGAAGTTCCTTGCGAGTAAACCAGCGGTCTTCAGTATGCGGCTGGTATGAGAACTTCACAAGGTACTCCTTATCTGTGCTTGTACCTGACTCAGAACATCAAATTTGACTATGCGATTTCAAACATTGACTGTATACTGAATTACAATTTACTAGGGACTGGCATAATTGGATCCTGGCAGACATAATTGAAGTTATGATTGACCCTAGTCTAGCCAAGCTCCAGCTATGCCAGCGCAGAATTCAAATTTGCATTATTACCGACAACAGCACCCTGAACTCATCAATTCACTACACACTATGAATCGCAATACTGTGAAGCAGTCACAAATCAAATTTGAGTCAGAAAGGAGGTAAAACAGGGTTAGTAGGAGTCAACTAAGATAGGTAGGAGAAATTGGATATGGCTGTCCCACAGTTTGACTTTCTATTTTCAACTGTCTACTGACTGACAGACCATATTTCGCTATTCTAAAAATAGACCCAGAATCACCACACAGACTAGAGTAAGGAACACACTTACTTTAAGGTTATCTCTGAAAAAGATGAACAAAAATCTGGCTATGGTTGTTTGGTCAACCCCATCTCGCCATTTTCATACCTTGATCATTCCCCGTGTTCCCACGTACCAAACTTCCTGAAACTTGGTGATTCAGCAGATTACCCTGAGGTGCTTCACCCTCAACTGACAGAACCACTGAATTATGACTCCCAGATGCTGATAACTAAGAAACTCAGTGCAGCGCCACATCACCCTGTACCGCGCTACTTGGAAAATGGGGATCCCAACCCAATTCCAAAATCGTAGCACCTTGGGATCACTTCCTCACCAATCGCCGGTATCCAGATGAGTCGCCAGGCTAAAAATAGCCTCCTCAGAGCCTCCCAGACTTTTGAACACAATTCGCCCCTCACTACTGCATAACCCTAAGCAGGGGTGCATCACCCTCTATCCAATTCTTCTCGCCACACACTGACCACCACCACCCTCACCGACAACAACCCTGAAGATGATAAATCGCCATGCCAGATGATGATGGTTGCTCCAACTCATCAATCCGTCCACAGTCTGGATCCAATCGCTCTGATACCAATTGTTATGATTCTGGTTGCCTGTTGTCTAAAGACCAACACTCACTCACATAGACTCCCAGGTATGCCCATACATACACAGAAGGAAGTGGAGAGGATAGGAGTATCACACCGCATAGGGAGAGATAAACACAGCAGAAGACTTGACCATGCGATATGATAGGGTACACTGAAAGTGCAATTCACTTCACACAATCCTCACAACCAGTCATAAAGGAAAGCCGAGCAGATCACATCCGAGAAACAATGAAGCAATGATAGTCTGAACCCAGTATCTACACTGTTTATTAAACTCAGAGTCTCGAATTGTCAGAATAACTTCAGAACTATGATGCGCTGTATAGTTCCAATTTTGGCGAAACAATGAAGCAATGATAGTCTGAACCCAGTATCCACACTGTTTATTAAACTCAGAGTCTCAAATTGTCAGAATAACTTCAGAACTGTGATGCGCTGTATAGTTCCAATTTTGGTGGATGTCCCGCGGAAGGACTGATGATGCATTCTTTTTTTTTCTTTTTCTTTTTCTTTTTAATTTAAATTTAATTTGGACCATTTCTCTATTTATGCTTTTCATCCTTGCGCAGGGGCCATGGTCTAATCTTCCCTCTCTGTATCGTTCCAATCCCGAAGGACAAGATGCTGCTGCATTCTATAGGGCTTGTGCCCATTCAATTTTTTCTCAAAGATCATTCGAGTGGATTGCACGGCACCGTACAAGTGAAAAAAGAAGAAATCGTCCCGTGCAATTGACAGTGGGCGTTGCGGCACGGCACACGAAACAAAAAACGAAACGAATGTATCTTACCCCAGAAAATGGCTAGGTTCATCGGTTTGCTATAAATAGTAACGAGTGTATTTTGCAACCTTTGGTGGGCAGATGCACTCGTTTCGTTTTCAGTTCGTGTGCCGTGTGGTCAGAACCAGTGTTAGGTGGCCTCGCACTGCCGTCGCTTTGCTGAAAAAAGGGGACAGGTGTGAATGACCTGGCATGTCCGTTCTTGAGATAGGGCCTCCCCACACCACTCTCGAAATGTGCAAAATGAGAATGAWTTTTTGGGTAGATCATGGCCAGATGCACCCGCCACATTTTTGTCTTTTTCACATTTCATGTGGCGAGGCCCATACTACGCCAGCTGGGATGAAAGAAGGGCCCATCTTCAAAAAAAAAAAAAAAAAAAAAAAAGAAGGGCCCATCAACGCTCCTTGATGTCGTCCCCCGGTGGGCAAGGTCCCACTTGGGCAAATTAGGAGATTGCGGCGGTTGATCTTTGCTATCTAGGGTCAGTATCTTCGTGCAAGTGGGACCTACCCCCGGGGATTGGAAGGTGGGTGGCTGGTGAAGGAAGGAGGAAGGGAGGGAGGGAGGGAGGAGAGTATGGGCCTGGCCACACCACTCTCGAAATGTGAAAAGGACAAACATGTGGCGGGTGCATCTGGTCATGTTCTAGCCGGAAGTTCATTCTCATTCTGCACATTTTGAGAATGGTGTGGCGATGCCCTATATCACTGTAAGAGCCGGCCAAGCGATGAGGCTCTGAGTCTGTGAAAGGGGACGTGATGCCAGCCCCCCTCCTGGATGGCGTCTAGTGTCACCAGAGCAAGGCCGGAGCTATTGCGTTTTCTTTTTCTTCTTTTTTTTTCATAAAAGGCAACGGCCTTGAGATATTATCATTGAGCTGACCGGCCCCACTCAATTCATTAGTAGTTGGTTTTTCTCATCAAGTTCCATCATCTGGATTCGAACAGGGGTCTGCATTTCAACAGTTCATGGGTGTACCCACTGAGCTAGGCTCTTGGGTGAGCTATTGCTTTTCTTTTCGTCTATTCTTCCTCATGTGCTATCTTGTATTCTTGTTTATAAACATTGGCCCTCGCTGCACTACTCTCCAAATGTGCAAAATGAGAATGAATCTTCTGCTAAAAAAAAAAAAAAAAAAAAAAAAAAAGAATGAACCTTCCTCTGGAACGTGGAAATATACATTGCCATCTTTTTTGTCTTTTGCGCATGTGGAGAGTAGTGCAGCGAGGCCCATTTTCCTTGCCGGTAGTAAGCGACCGGACTGGTGCCCTCCACAATAAATACAACGGGGCTGTGTGCGTGTGTGTTTGTGTGTGTGTGTGTAAGGAAAAAAACAAAAAGACGATAACAACGAGAGGGACACGATGCGGACTCGACGTGGCGCATTGCATATGGCGTTGCCACGTGGCACGGAGTTGCCACGTGGCACGGAGTGGGCCTGTTGCTGACAGACAGGACAGCCACGATGCACGCTTGCATGTCTGGCGGCTATGGCTGCGCCTCACCTTTGCCACAGCCGAAGCCCTCAAAGTGCGCCTTTCGGGCAATGACATCCTTGTACGTGCGAACGTCGGTGTCTGGAGCTTTCTTCTCTTCGTCTTTGAGCCATGTTCCTTGGAGAAAGTTATGGGACCTACAGTTGCAAGATGATGGCCGCCGCTCAACCGCTCACTTTTTGTTTGCCGGTCGCTCTGCGTGTCACTTCATCTCGGTTACGAAACGGAAGACGCAAGATGATGGGCTCCAGCACTCTGGAAGTCGAGCTATGGCGACGGCGGGAAATGAAAGACAGACTGGACCGCCTCCCTATGAGCAAGAAAGGAGCGAGAGATCCTATGAGCAAGAAAGGAGCTACAGCCAAGCACAGCCACGTGGTCGATTCATCTACACTGTAGAGATTCCTTCAGATGGCATGCCGGCCGGTTTCCCTGGTGGTAAGGACGGATGGCGCGCAATGTGGGCTTCCGGACCGTTCGACGCTGTCATTCACCCTAATCTTCCCCCATTCCAGTCGGTACGTGAAGTGCTGCAGCGACCGCACCTCGTGACCAGGTTCTTCGAACGCAGGAGAACCACGAACAGTGGGAAATTGCCAGGGACAGGGAAGGAGGAGGAGGAGGAGGAGGGCAAGAAGACGAAGAAGATGCTTTATCAACACCCACTAAGATCAGGTGTGTCTTATTCCAGGGCTGTCGATCCGGAGAGGGGTGATAATTCGTTCCAGCGCAGTCCACTGCGGTACTTGGAATCAACTGCGGTACCAGGTTCGGAACCAGGTGCGGAACCGGGACCAGGTTCGGGACCAGGTTCGGAACCAGGTTTGGAACCAGGTTCGGAACCAGGACCAGGTTCGGGACCAGGTTCGGAACCAGGTTTGGAACCAGGTTGGGAACCGGCTCGCGAGGACGACTGGGGGACCGAAGAGATGGGACCAGGTTCGGAACCATGCATGCAGATATGGACGGTACCTGCACAACTACGGTCTCGTGATGAAGTGCAAGCGGATATGGCCGCGCGTGGAAGGCAGATCGCCTCTCATAGTCGTGGCGGCGCTTTGCTGCTCGTATCTGGCGGCCATCCAATGCGCAAGGCGCCATTCGCGGAGCACTGGCTGCCTACAAACTCCTTCAAAATGCTCAGAGAAGGTCACAGAATGCGCCGAGAAGGGATCTTGCCTCCACAGATCGAGCTCTGGGCCGTGGAGAATCCTTACGTCAATCATCCGAGCCGTTTCGAGAAGAAGCTCGAGACAGGCGCAGAGGCCATCATAACACAGCCTCCGCTGCTGCCGGACGCTTTCGGGCTCTGGTGGGAAGCTATTGCACAACGAGGGCTGCTAGCTGATACCAACGTCATCGTCGGGGTCCCGTTCGTTACGTCCTACAGGAGTTTTGCATTCTGGCTGGACCTGCTTGGTGCTTCGAAGCTTCCTGAAGGACGGGCCGAAGCAGATAAGTTCAGGAGACAATTGCAAACACTGGGTAGTGATCCTGATGGAAAGGCGCTCATCAGAAGCTTCAGACGAAAGTGGATCTTGAGTCTTATGAGGAGGGTAAGGCAACTTCCTGGGGTTTCAGGAATGCATATAATGCCCGTAACAGCGGCAGGATGGAGGGATTTGCAAACGATGGTGAAAGATTACCCAGAAGAATTTCATTCATCTTTATTTTGACATCATAATGAGTAAAAAAAAAAAAAAGGGGGTTTGTCATGATGTGTTCGTCACCCTAAAAGACGGAGTGATACTCGAAAGCCAATTAGGATGCTGAAAAAAGAAAAAAAGAAAAAAAAAGAAAGAAGGATGCTGCATTGCCCCCTCCACGAGATGGAAAGCACCATCTATCAGCCCTGGTGCCTATCACTGCTGTTCGGTCCAAGTTGCCTGCCCGTTGGTAGGGCAATGGTCCTGAGTGCTGGCCACACTGAGGTAGAATAGTGGGATCGGGGGTGCGCTAGGAGTATTGACGTGAGGATGGGTTGGGAGGTGGTCTCATATTCCAGGACACCCCCGGCTCACAGTTCCAGGTGATCACTGTGCACACACTAACTGGCCTCTACAACACCCTGGACTTTTTATAATTAAAAAAAAAGAAAAAAAAAAGAAGAAGGAAAAAAAAGGGATGAAAACGGAAAAAAAAAGTGAAAACATTTCCTTGGGGAATCCATGGAAAGCACCATAGGCCAAGATTACCAGGGGCGAGAAAAAAGGAATGGGCCCCGGGCGAGGACGGACGAGTCTTGTGAATTTTGAAACCGCGAACTTCGTGGGAGGGTGGGAGAAGTCCGACTCTGTGTAACTGTGTGCAATTATTACCTGTTAGTGTGTGTGTGTGTGTGTGTGTGTATGTAATCAACTGCTTCCGTGGCCTCAGGAAGGAATTCCATAAATCAGTCCTGTCTTGCCTTGCAATACTACGGTGGCACCCTCTTCCACTTCGAATAGATTGACCGGCTCCAGCTAAATGTGGAGGGATGACAACGGGCATAGATGTGGAGGGATGACAACGGGCATAGCCGCACTACTTGCGGAATGTGAAAAAGACGAAACCTTTGGCGGGTGTATGTTTCTATGTTCTTGAGGAAGATAATTGCTCCAATTAGCACATTCCCGGAGGAGTGGGGGGAGGCACAACATGTTTGAATATATGCAGAAATGCTATCCTATTGGATATCTGGACAAACTGCTGTACTCATGAATCAGAAGAAGGGTCTCTCTCCACTACTCTGGACTCTTGATTTTTTTTTCTTCCGAATACGGGCCCAGTGCTCAAGTCTTATATTATAGAAAATAATGATTGAGGCCGGGGTCCTCCAGTCTACCCGGGGGCTGGGAGCATTACCCAGTTTCGCTTATGGGCCGCGCCTGTGGGGCCAAATCCCCAGACCAATAACAATGTTTACAAGCACTCAGATCAAACGGTTGTCTGAGGAGGAAAATATGACCGTGGGCTGGTGGAGACCATACTCCTTCAGACCCAATGTGGCACTCCTAAACCAACCCCACTTGCCACCAACTACTGCCCTCCTACTGAGGAGAATAACAGAGCGCCCAGGTATTACTCATCACTGAACCCAACAAAACGCTGGTACAGCCACAACGCACTGCTAGACCTGCAGTGCGCAAAAATAAAAACCAGTGACTTTTGGTCAGATGACGATGTGTGCAAATGTTTGTGCAGAATCGTGCGGACGAAGGTCCTAAGTCTTGACAGATGGGATGTTAAACAGTGGCACTCCCTCTGAATATGCCTTGAACCTACCTAGGAAATGGATGGCCTGGAAGCACTGTACTGCAAAAACCCTGCTTGGCAATGTGTAAGAACAGCAGACCTGGACTTGCGCTCCATTAACGTAAATGGCCTAGCATCTAGTAAACCTGAAAAATGCCAAGCTATTTGGGACCAACTCAGTGGAGTAGGGGGCAGACGATGGCCGGACGTGATATGTGTGCAGGAAACCCACCTGCAGGACAACCCAGAGCATAACAGGGCCCACAAGATGGTCTGGCCTCACTCGGCCGTGAGAGCTCATGCCCCTAGGCCGGGATCAGCAGGAGTGGCAATTTGGATTCCCCCCGACTCCAGACTTCAGTTGGTCCACTGGGTGGTAGATGAAGAAGAGGGGTGGTGGGCCTCTGCATTAGGAATGTTGGAATTGGAATTGCTCTGTATACTTCGCTTCTACTCTCCTAACAGGGTCGGAGAACAAAGAGCCTTTCTAGGGAATCTAGGAACGCAAGTCCCCCGAGGGCATCCCTCAAGTCATAGCAGGGGATTTTTTTTTTTTTACCAAAAAAAAAAGCAGGGGATTTTAACGCTACTCCGGATAGAAGACTAGATAGATGGCACCCTCAGGGAACCCTCCCTTTTGCTGGGGACGAAGACGAGTGAATGATAACAGAATTATGCGAAACTCTCTCGGTCTTTGACACCTTTCGCCGGCTGCATCCACAAGACCGGTCTCTTAGAAACAGCGACCCGACACGGTTATCCAATCACGAATTGATCTTATCTTTCTTTCAAATGACCCGGAGGGCGCCCCACGATGGTCAACCATCCTCCCATGCAGCCCGCAGCCGGGTCTGGATCACAAGACATGTGAGATAATTTTAACAATGAGGAAAAGGTGGGATCAAGAGTCCGGTTTCTACAAGCTTAATACCTCCCTCTTAAAAGATGAACCATTTAGGCAAATGATTCAACACGAATGGCATTGTTGACACCAACACAAACATCTCTTCGACTCATACTCCACGTGGTTCAACAATGGTCTGATTTTTCTAGCTAGAAAGTGGAAAGAATTTTCCAAGGTCAAAGCGGCCCTGCGACATCAACAGGAAATGAACATTCATAAGGAATTGCTAGACCTAGAACAACAGATAGATTCACAACATCTCACTATTCCCATCCAGAGAGTGAAGGACCAGCTCTTACTACACGCACAACATAGATGGCAAGGTATCAGAACACGAGGGAAAATGACCAAGTTCACCCAAGAAACCACAATGGACACCCATTTCTTCACTATGGCTACAACTCGCGCACGGCGGACTGTAATTGAGACACTCTTTGACCCAGACAGAAGGGAGTAAGTTATAGCGACCAATACCGCACATTGCACATTAATCACAAGAAGTTTTTTCAAATAACTATATACTTCGCAAATCCCGATCCCTTGAGGGGAGGGGAGGGAGAGAGAACTATAAGAATTTTTACTACCTATGGACAGACGTCTTTCCCCGCAACAACGTGTCCGGTTGGAAAAATCGTTAACAAAGGATGAAGTATGGACAACGTTTCTCCAGATGAAGGAAGAAAAAACCTTCGGAATTGATGGTTTCTCCAAAGAGTTTTGGGAAGCTATGTGGACGGATTTGAGCACGGACCTGTGGGACTACTACCAGGAGGTACGGAAAACCGGGGAAATGGGGGAAGTGGTGGGGAAAGGTATACTGACATTACTATATAAAAAAAGGGACAAGATGAACATCAGAAACTACATACCCATCACCCTTCTTATAGTAGTCTATAAAATGTTTTCAAAACTTGCTTCACAAATCGTATGGCGACGGTTTTAGAGGACGTAATACACCCAACCCAGACAAGATTCATGGCCGGTAGGAAAATACACGAGAACATTCTATTGGTGAACGAAGTAGTTAAATTAACACGAAGGAATAAGGCAAACGCGACCATTATTTTCATTGATTTCGAGAAAACCTACGACGACGTCGACTGGACTTTCTAGATAAATGCTTAGAAAAAATGAATTCTGGACCCGTCTTCAAGCATTGGGTAAGGATTCTTCATAGCAACGCCACTACCTGTATACAGGTTAACAGGTCGGTTACACCCCCATTCAAGCTTCACAAGTCGGTGAGACAAGGAGATCCCGCTAGCTGTGAGGTTGTACTCTTTTAGTTGTGTACAAGATTCTCCATTTGAAATGAGTCGGTCATTCCAAAATTTTATTCGTTTTTTTGTGTCTGGTCGACGACCCTTGTTATCACATAAAAATCCTAAAATTGTCGCCTCCCGCATGCAGTGTCTCGATTTGACGCCGCTAGCTGTGAGGTTGTATTTTTTTAGCTTTCGCATGACCTTATCCATATCGCAAATATATTCTCAGACAAACTTGCGAATGTCTGGTAACACTTTCGTCTCGTCATTTATGCGAGGTCCTCGAATAGCCAAATCGTTCATATATGGTGAAGTCACCCCCGGACAGAGTGACTGCATGACCCTCATCATACATCGCTTTACAATAGCGACAACGTTTGTCCAACCTTGAGGTGTTGAGCATATGTGAATCAATCCCCTAGGTGTATGCATTGTCGTCATGAGTATATCTGTTGTGTACAAGGAGAATTGATCATAACCTGAATACAAGTCAATCAATGTTATGATGGATCTATATGCACATGATTATGAAAGTTGATCTGCGTGTGGAAGTTCACCCGCATCTCGAACCGTTAATGCATTCAACCTTTGCAGATCCTGGACCCATCTAAGGATGTCGTTTGGTTTGATAAAACAAAACAAAGGAGACGCATACGGACCATAAAAATAATTCGTCTGAATTTTATCATCCAGATACTTAATCACCTTGCGGTGATCATCTGGGTTCGGATACCGTGGACGTCTTACATTTCATGGCTCATGTGATACCGTATGTATCTTGATCATTGGGATCATATCAACATCTAACCTTCCTCGTTCGTTATCGTCAAAGACATATGTAAAATGTATGTCATTTAAAGTACTAACGAGGAAGTCAGTTTCCGTTTTAGTAAGAAATTAATCGAATCCAATGATCATTTATTTAATCCTATCATCTGTCAATCGACACGGCTCTTCCTCCGCCTTCATCTTCATTGTCCTGATCCACTATCTCCCCTCTTTGTAATAATTTTTTTGGTATTGAGTGATTACGACGTGCAAAGGCTGCGCTTTCACGCCTACTTTCTTATGCCTCCGCTTCGATTCAGTGGCAAGTTTTCGTCCTCTAAAAAAGAACTTTGCCTCGATGCAGGCGTAACCAATGTGCTCACCTCTTGAGGCTCGTCCAATCGATAAGTCAAAGTCATATTTCTCGCACCTCCCACATCAGATAGCACATCGGTTAGTGTCTGTACTAATCCAGGGTCAACCGAGGATTCTGTCAAAAGAAAATCTATTGTCTGCGATATGTTTGGCAGAGCAATAAAAAAAAAATTTAGACTCCGCATAGTCATCGAACGACTTTTTTTCTCTCCTCGGTCTTTCGGATTCCGGGAAAGAGTAGAATTCCGGATTAAGCTGATTCTTTGAGTTTTATGGCCCTGTGTTCTCGCATTTTTTTACTTCATAATATCCACATACAGGATCACACAAGGCGACAAACATTGAAACCATCATGTTACCTAGCAACACCTCATGCTCAAGTCTGAACAGATCATAAAAGTAGCTACGAGTTTTCACCTTCCCCACCGTGACCATGGCATCATTGATCGTGCCACAAAAAAAAATTGATCCACTCGCACCTACCATAAATCCGGTATCAGATCGATTGATTTGGATCCCCGCCTCAATAACTTTTCTCTCTTGCATGATATTCATTTTTGCACCATCATCAACCAAAGCAGAGTACTCACCTTGTCCAACTTGTACCTTCAAAAGACCAGTGGCAACACATCGCCAATCCATTTTAGTCCCTGCAGGTGCCCAATTGGCTTCCGTAGGGAGGATATCACCAAACTTGAGAGTCATTACCTTCCTCCGCGTCAATCGCTACTTGAGCTTGTCACGGATTTTTGGAAATGCTGCCAGAAATTCCTTCAGAGTGACCAAGTCGCGCTGACTTTCTAGAATATGATCAACAATTTGTTCA